TGTCTGTGGGCGATTGTCTTCCATATGTATGCATTGCAAATTAGAATATTCGGGGGCCACTTTCTCGGGATACAAAAAAGGGAAAACCAAAGCCTCCGAGATGGCTCAAGCAATCGTGGAGACCACATGAAAGAGAAACTTTTGGAATCACTTGTACGACGCACGTGTTATCATTTGCTAAAAAAACCGCACCTTTAAGCATTCAAAGCAAACGTGATTGAAGCTGCGTGGGGACAACCAGTTCAGATCTTGGGCGGTAGCGGAGTGCGTGATGTTTTCTGCACGCGGCACCAGTCTGCATTTAGTTGATACATGGTGCGCATCGTGGTCAGAGGCTTAACAGAGCTTCATAGTGAAGGGTGCCACGCTTCTCTGACAAGGCTACTCAAAACAATAACAGAATATCTACATTATCACACTTTATCACGCGACCAACTGTAGAAAACGCGAGTCGCTCACTTACAGAACATATTCGCAACTTCCATATCCAGTGCTCCCGCCGTTATGCTTCGTGCAACGGGTACGAAAATCGGTAAAACTGAAGTCGTGTACATCTCTTGCAATTCAAAACGCTATTGTAGCGTCGACTGGGGCATTTCTTTGTAGCTTGCGGAGCTCTTGCGTCAGCTTTTGTTTTCGCCACAGTTTCGGCGAGTGACCAAGCAAGAACTTCATGGCGGTTCGGTTGCACATTCTACTTGCAAAGAGAAATTCGTAGCTTTTGCCCTAATGTTCAACCTGCAAACACACCTAATATTCAGCTGAATTGTTTCGTACCCACTAGTTGCTCTTGGTTGCACAGCACACTGTGCAAATAAGTCGGAAGGGCACTACCCAAAACTGCTTCGACAGGTGGCACTACGTGTCCGCATCCGAAACACTGCAGAGTCGGAAGTCTATGGTATGGCTTGGGGCGAAGCTCCTTAGGTGCTAGCCTTGTGCGGCATCCAGTGATGTACCAGCATCTCCAGTTGTTTCACAACACCTCTTACACATCTGCGAAACAAAAAAAAACTGCGCCGTCCTTCACTCCGCCCGTTCATCCATCTATCTGTGCGTGAATGCGTCAGTGTCTCTGTCCAGCTGTTCGTCGCTTCATACGAGCGTCCATCTACTCATCTGTTATTCCTTTATACAATCCGGCTATTTCAACGTATAGACGTGCTGCACCTTAGGACTTGTCATGCTTCATTGTGGAATTGCGTGAAAGGTCTTTTTAACTGAGAGTCGGCGCTCTAAACTATTTCACTCCGATCCTTACGAAGAGTAAGAGGACTTTTTTTAATTCGCCTGTTACGTCCGTCAGTGGAGACACCGAGCGATGAAGTGACATAGGTGCAAAAACGCTGGTGAAACTCCGAGTATACGGCAAAATACCAAGCACTTAATGAGCGGGGTCGCGTAGGGCGAATAAGCTAAGGTGTAATATCCAATTTATTCAGCTCTCCACCGACAATCAACGCCCGTGTTCGCTCAGTGGTTAGGGCAACTCGGCTGCTGACCCGGATGACACGGACTTGATTTCTGTGTTAGAGAAATGACTAGAGGCCATAGTTTCAGTGCAGGTTAAAGAACTTCAGATAGTCGAAATTATTTGGAGTACTCCATCACGGCGATTTTCATTTCACGAGTCACTTCCGAATATTGAGCCTCATAAAACATTTGACCAAATAGCACCGAATTAAGCTCAACCATTTGTCGCAGTGCCTGAAAACTGCGTGAACATTTTTCACACCTAAACACTGCCTATATTGTGGTCTATTTTTGCAGTGAGCTTGAAGATTAAAATAGCTTGTTTTTGTTTACGTTATTGTGAAATGAGGATGTCAGCTCACTAATGGCCAGACATTAGCGCACTTATCGTATCCGCTGTAAGCCAAGTGGTACGATGCGATTGAAAGATACGTGCTCCTCCGAATTCAATGCCTCAAAAGATCCTGTGTTTATTTAACAGCTGCTTTTTATCACTTTACACCAGGGACGTCATAGGGCAGCACAGTGCTTGGCCCGAACAAAGATAACGATAACATTACACCCTTTCTTTTTTTGTCAGAAGTATTGTAACACAAAGCAAACAAATAAACAAAGCAGCATGAATAGTAACAACACAGACCTGTATGCTGCAAGTTTCAAGTGTAGCCGTCTCGCTGTGGTGGCCTTAGTTCTCGACCATAGCGTGTCACATGACAACCAAGTCTCCCGCTATCCAATGGAGCCGCCATCGTTGAAATGAGGGCAGAATGCTCTGCCGAGGACTTTGTTCCTCGGATTGCCCTGCAGCGTTCAGACTCACGGGAAAGTCATAAGATGGGTTATGCATGCAGGTTCGCTCACTTTTATTTAACCAGTGCCCTTCTATTTCTTTCTAACTCGGTCCCATTGTTTATCCGCACTCCTTGGAGGTCATTTAAGATATCTGCCATTCTCTTTTGAAAGTACTCCAGGGCCGAGATGCTACTGAATGACATTCGCTGGAAGCAGTACCTACCAAATGGTATGATAAATGTTGTGAGCTCTTGACTTTCTTTAGTCGATTTTACCTGATTGATTGATATGTGGGGATTAACGTCCCAAAACCACCATATGATTATGAGAGACGCCGTAGGGGAGGGCTCCGGAAGTTTCGACCATCTGGGGTTCTTTAACGTGCACCCAAATCTGAGCACACGGGCCTACAACATTTCCGCCTCCATTGGAAATGCAGCCGCCACAGCCGGGGATTCGAACCCGCGACGTGCGGCTCGGCAGCCGAGTACCTTAGCCACTAGACCACCGCGACGGGGCAATTTTACCTGATTAAAACCTGAACTGGCATGTAATTTTGAAAACAATGTCGCCTCTCGCAAATCGCTGAAGGGCGTCATCTACTGTAGGCAGTACAAACCGTTCGCGCAGGACGCTCTTGTTCGGCGGGGTTAGATCCACGCAAATTTGAACTTCGCCTGTGTGCTTGACCAAGGGAACCATTCCTGCACACCATTTAGCCGCACCGTTGACCTTCCGAATGACGTGGCTTTTGACCTTTTTGGCCAACACTACTTTGATAGAGGTTTTTAATTAAATTGGTATCCGCCGAAATGCGAAAATTGCTAAGGGAGTCGCTCCTTGTTTCATGCGAACAGTGTGTTACAGCAGAAATCATGCCCGAACCAGAAAAAATCTGCGCATACATATACTCGTACTGTTTATTTTCAACCACATAAAGAAATGGGGCCACACCAAGCGTGTACTGTCACTGCTTCAATAGCTGGAAGCCCTAACAGAACACACTGCAGTGACTCTACGACGTACAATGTTTGTCACGTGGTTTTTCATTTCCACACAATATACTGCTGAAAAACAACTGTTAACTTTATATGATTGATATGTGGGGTTTAACGTCCCAAAACCACCATATGATTATGAGAGACGCCGTAGTGGAGGGCTCCAGAAATTTCTACCACCTGGGGTTCTTTAACGTGCACCCAAACCTGAGCACACGGGCCAACTATTAACTTCAAGGCGCAGATTTGCAGCGCTTCTCAGCGCAGCCTGCGACTTGTTTATACAGACGGTATGCCAGGAAAATCGGGCGGAACGACAGTAACTTCCACTCCTGAATCAATTTTAGCACGCATGCGCACCCCATTTATATAGACACTTCCGCGTATCGGGCATTTGATCCGTTAAGAGTCCCAACAAAAAGTTCTCTACAGCGCCTTCTAGTGCAGACTCGCCCACCTAGTTTTCAGTTCTCCAGCGTATGCAGAAGTGACATTTTTGCTAAGTGTTATCATTACCTTTGTACGGACCAAGCACTGTGCTGCCCTATGAGGTCACTGGTGTAAAGTGATAAAAAGTGGCTGTAGAATAAACACGGTGTCTTTTGAGACAGTTACATCGGAGTGGCGTGGGTCTTTCAATCGCATTTCATGTGAAGGGAAGAACTGAAGCCGAACTCACACCCACATTTTTCTTCTGCCGATCATAGGTAATTTACCACATTGCTGCTTTAGCAATCATTCCGCATTTCATGCGAAGCAAAAAACTGAAGCCGAACTCACACCCACATTTTTCTTCGGCCGATTTAAGGTAATTTACCGCATTGCTGCTTTAGCAATCATTCCGCATTTCATGTGAAGCGAAGAAGTGAAGCCGAACTCACACCCACATTTTGATTCTGCCGATCATAGGTAATTTACCACGTTGCTGCTTTAGCAATCATTCCAACTTAAAAAAACTACACTATCTCCGGCATGAGCGAACCAAGCGGAGATGCGAAGCGGCGGGTGCTTGCGCCTATGGGCGAGCAATAGGCAGCGTTTTCCCGTCGTCTCGTACGCCGGCGTCAGTAGGCGTCGATGCAACGGGTCGCTGCAACGTCCGATTCCGGAAGTTCAAAATATATGCAGTGTCTGCGTCGACGGTGAAAGTGGTTCGATGAATAGAAAATCAATTAGCACATGGTTGACAGTGACTTCCACTACATTGTTATCATCTCCCCTGGTAAGAGGGACGGTGAAATTCACTGGGCATTATTCGGCACCAGTGGTCACGGCTGGAAGCAATGACCTCGAAGAATCACTCTGCTTGCTTTTGTAGTGCTCGTCGTCTATACCTAGCCGTATACGGTCACCTTTGTCCACGTGGTACTCTTGCCTCGATTTCATCACCTTTCTCGCGTGCACTGTCACTGCTGCTAAAGTGGCGGCTGCCCACCTCGGATCTATTAAGTCATTGCCATGCTCTGTGTGACCCGCAAGGTCTCTAATAATGTTTGTATTTGACTTGGCTTGTTCCTCAGAAGCTTCGACAGCAAGCGGTCAAGATTTCTTTCAACCGTTTTCAAGCGCCATTTCCAAGATCATCGGTAGGCTTAACAGTGCTGAGTGTATTGGCTGAATAGGTAGACTCAAAGATGTGCAACAACTCGCAAGCTCAGAGCATAATTCCAGAGTTCATTTTGCTCCAGGGGAAAGCCATTGTGTCATTCTTTGTTTTAACCTCATTCGTAAACCAAGGATCGGTGCGGCTTGGTGCGGTACACCTTCTGCCCTCGCCTACGCCGCGAAGTGTTCTACGACCGCAATGGTGGCGACTGTGTGGCGGTTACGACGGCTGCCGAGCACGAGGCGGTAAACGAAGTGGCATCGATGGCAGCGGCCCGTTACAACGATACTAGCGTGCACAAGGACCTGACACCACTCTGCAACAGCAGTCCAAACCGCTTCTCTTCACTCGAGAGCTGCCGAGAAAGCTGCCAGCGGAGGGACGTGCCCGCGGAGCGTTGCTTCGACGAGACCCTCTTCTCGGAGTGCCGTAGGTATGTTGCACTGAATAACCTGACGCAAATCGCTGATGTTTATACAAACCCCCACAGCTAAGTACCAGATGGGGCTATTGGTGCATTTGGGTACTGAGGTATAGCATGTCGAACAAAGAATACAGAGTCAAGCATACAAGTGAGAAGTTGACAAAAGCGAATATTTTCGAAGTTATTCTCGATTCCTTTCAGAGAAAAAAGAGTCCTCAAGATGTGCAAACCCTTCTGAGTAGTATTTCACAGTGCGTGCGCTAAAAATAGCCATGTGTTTATATATATATATATATATATATATATATATATATATATATATATACTGTCACGATGAGTCACAAGTACTGCGGGATTTATTAAACCACCGGGTAGCAATCTCTAGGACGATGCGTCAGTCGTGGCTGGCTCTCGAGCAGAGAAGAAACACGCGATCTTCTTTTTCCTCCAGATTGAGAGCCCCTCTTGCTGTGAACCCACTACGTGCTGGGGGCATTATATATATATTATATATATATATATATATATATATATATATATATATATATATATATATAAGGGAAAGAAGTGATACCTAAGGGCTCGTTTTTTTCGTGTTTTAACACAATACTAATGAGATATAACAGACAGTAATGCCAAGGAATGTACAGGGGAAGTTATTAGAACCAATGGAATGTAAATAAGAGGAAAGAAGAAAGAAAAGTGGATGAAAAAATTACCAACTGTGAGCAGGAATCGAACCTACGACCTTCGAATTACGCGTTCGATGCTCTTCGAATTACGCGTTCGAGCATCGAACGCGCAATTCGAAGGTCGTAGGTTCGATTCCTGCTCACAGTTGGTAATTTTTTCATCCACTTTTCTTTCTTCTTTCTTCTTATTTACATTCCATTGGTTCTAATAACTTCCCCTGTACATTCAAGTTTCAAGTTTTCAAGTTTATTCAACAACGATGTCAGTTTACAGAAAAGTGCGTACAGGATTGGTAATACACACAAGGAGCCCCAAAGTTGGAAACTGTCAGGGGGGCTCCCATACATGATGTTAACGGGAGAAGAAACAAAATATACAACATTCAGTTGTTACGGTATCTTCAGTAAGAAAAAAAAAAGCACAGTGCGAAAAAAACGAAAGTAGAAAATACATATATGTTTAGTAAGGCAAAAAAGAAAACTCTGAAGAACAAACAAGCGCAAGTTATAATACAAAACGTAAGGACAATATAACATGTAGCAATTGTTATCGCTACATTAAAAAGCAGTTGCTAAGATGAAGACAACTGTTGCAAAAAATATTTCTTTACTTGGTTTTTGAATGCATGTTCTGTGGTTGATGATTTTATTACGTAAGGAAGGGAATTCCACAGCTTGATTCCCGTAAATGTGGTAGTGAACTTGCCGTAGTTTGTGCGAACTTTAGGCAGAAGGCGGTTATCAAGCTCAGAAAACCTAGTAATATTATTATTTACAAGGCCTTCCAAGACAATGCCATCTATATGCACATTACCGCGAAAAAGCCTATACATCACAACTGATAACTTCAGCTGAAAGAGGTGATAAAGAGGATGTATATTTAAATTCTGATAAAGTGGCGTTGCATTGGTTAAGAAATGGCTGAAAGTCATGAGTCGAAGTGCTTGATTCTGTAGGCGTTGTAGCCGGTTGAGGTGGGTCAAATATGTGTTACCCCAGGCTGATATGCAATAAGATAAATGGCTGTGAATATGTGCGTGATAAAGGGAGTGGATTATGTGTGGCTGAAAATATGAACGAGTTTTGATTATGGCGCGTATTCCAAAGGTTATCTTGCGAATGAGTGATTGCGCATGAAGATTGAATTTCATATGCCGGTCAAGAACTACACCGAGAAACGTTGTACTGTTGGACATGGGAATTAAATTATCGTCCAGACGCACAGATATAGATTTTGAAAGTACAGTCGGGAAGGAATGAAAAACTATAAAAACGGTTTTTGATGGATTAATTCTTAACATGTTCATTCGACACCAGGAACTTATATTATGTAGATCCACGTTAATGTTTCGTTGTAGCTCATCGACATTGTTAGCATAGGTAAAAATGGTCGTGTCATCTGCATATAAGATACAATCTGTAGCGGTCAAAACATTAGGTAGATCATTAATAAATAGCAAAAAGAGCAGCGGGCCAAGGATCGAGCCCTGAGGAACACCTTGATTTACTTTCTTAGCTGCTGAAACTTTACCGTCAATCTGAACAACTTGAGTGCGATTGCAGAGATAACTAGATATAAATTGAAGTGCAGGTCCAGTTATGCCATACGATTCAAGTTTATGTATAAGAATTTTGTGATTAATTGTGTCAAAAGCTTTCGTTAAATCTATGAATACGCCACCAACTACGAAGCCTTGGTCGATTGCCCCTTTTATTTTATCGGTGAGGGTTAGAAGCGCAAGCTCAGTGGAATAGCCAGGCCGAAAGCCGTACTGTTTAGATGTCAACAGATTAAACTTGTCAGGTAGGATATTAATCTTGTATGCATAAGACGCTCGATTATTTTGCTGAAAAATGGAAGAATACAAATGGGCCTATAATTACTCAGAAGTTCGCGATCACCTTTTTTGTGAACAGGTGTTATTCTACCAACTTTTAGGGAATCGGGAAATATGCCTGCTTTAAACATCTTGTTAACAAAATCTGCAATGACAGGAGATAGCTCACTAGAGACTAACTTGATGTGGGATAGATGAACAGAGTCAAGACCAGGTCCCGTGGACCTGAGCGAAGTTATAACACGAAGAACTTCCTCTGCACTCGTTGGTCGCAAGAAGAAAGAATAAGGCTGGCGAGGTAATGTTGGTAATGGGGGATTTCTCAGAGATTCACAGGTACTGCTAAAATACTCACTGAACGCATTGGCGATATCAGTTGGATGGCTGTATGTTTCTGCTTCAGTTCTAATTTTCGTTATCTGCTCACGACTTTTATTATTTAAGAATTCGTTTATGACCTGCCAGTTGCGCCTCGTATCATTGCCATTATCCAAAATTTTTTTCTGAAAGTATTCTCGTTTTGCACATTTAAGTGCGGCTGCAAGCGTGTTGGAATATTTCTTGAAACGAATTTTAAGTTCAGAGTTAAATGGCTCACAAGACACTCTTTTGTGAAGTTGGTTTTTCTTCAAGATACAACGAAGTAGCGCCCTTGTAACTCAAGGTTTTCTGGGATTACTGAAATGACGAGCTGTGATGTGTACCGTCGTGCATTCGTTAATGCATTGTGTAACTGTAGTCAAAAATAGCTGATAAGCCTTTTCAGCGCAGGATTTACTTATTACGACGGTCCAGTCAATTGATTGTACCATAGATACGAATTTTTGAGAATTAAAAGATATCCTCTTTTTGTTTTCCTTACACTTGTAATTTTCTGTGCCCAAAGTCAGGAACATAGGGTAATGATCCGTTATGCTGTGCTCAATGACTCCTTCTGTATTGTCTGTAGCAAAATTGGTTAATATGTGGTCAATTAACGTATTAGATCCTGCTATGTCACATCTGGTGGGAGTGGTTATTAAAGATTCAAAACCGTAGCCATGTAAACACCCGAGATAATCAGAACATGACTGATTAGTAGGGTCGATAATGTTCACGTTGATGTCTCCGCAGATGATGATATTTTTGTTTTCGTTCGTAATAGTGTCCAACAACTTATCGAACTGTAAACAGAACTCAGACTGTGAAGATGCTGGCGAACGATAAATGCACCCTAATACTGTGTTCCGGCCATCGACTGAGAAAACACTCTTGTCAAATTCTATCCATACAGATTCACAGAACATATTAGAAAACGCAAGGTCATTGCGGCGTTTGTATGACAATGACGATTTAATAAAAACGGCGGATCCACCGCCCCGTGGTGTAGCACGATAGCAGTACTCTGCATTGTATCCTGATAGCGCATACAAGTTTCTGTCGTCCGGCGACAACCACGTCTCAGACAAACAAATAAATGAGAAATTGTGATTAATTAAAGAAAGAAATGCAATGAGACTGTTGTGGTTTTTACGTAGGCTGCGAATATTCAAATGTATCAGTGATAGTTTTGGGTTTTTATCACTGAAATGTTTTTTCAGAGCTTGACAAGAAAACATTGTTGCGTAGGTTTAAAATACGAAGCAGTAAATAGCAATACTGGTAGGCTAGGCCAACACAGCAAGGTCACCCGCACTAGAGATACGGTAGACGCGGCTGTCGTCCGTCTTTCTGGCCTTAATTATGCAGTGATCAGTCCAGAGATGTTTCCAGCCTTTAGCTTTTTTCAGTTCAAGTGCCTGTGCGAACAGCCGTTTCCTTTCTTGTGTGAGATGATCATTTGCATATAAGGGCTTCTGATTGTTTTGGGAAAACCCAAGGGCCGCAGTCGTCAAGCGGGCCTTGCGTACTTTTTTCAAGAACTCAGTCTTTTTTTCTCGGGAGCAGAAGCGCGCGATAATGTTCGTGTCTTTTTTGGCTGGCACACGATGCACAGTATCAAGATCCTCAGGTGCAATCTTGCACCCTACAGCATCACCCATGGACTGAACAACTGCCAGACAGCTTTCACCTTTTGTTGCAGGGACGCCTTTTATTTCTACATTATTTAGTCGGGAGTACCGGTCAAGTTCAGAAACCCTTCGTGTCAGTTGCTTATTTTCATCTTTCAAAGCCTTGTTTTCAGTAGCGAGGTCGGAATTCTGCTTCTTAACACTCTCGACAAGCTCGTTGAACATACTAAGGCTGTCACGCATCGCCGCGACCTCAGTGCGTAAACACTCAATTTCTTTTGCCAACTCAGCGTTCGTCGGCATTCTGTACAACAGCACACGATTGGGCAGCAGCGGCAACGGTATTCACGGAACAAAAGAAGTATGGTTGGGTGGAGAAATAAGACCAACCTGTGACGAAAGTAGCAGTAGATTAGCGACTTGTTTGCGACCGCAACCGCTGCTGCCAATTGTGACTCGGCGCCAGCGATGCTTGCTTATATGCGGGA